TGTTAGCTATATACCTTTGTAATAGACTAGAAACTCTATGATGTAATAGTCTATTGTATATAGTTAGTTAGTATCTCGGTTAGTTGTTAAGTCAGTTTGACTCAACTAATCTCTATAAATACCTTGTAACCCAAATCAGTTCATAATAATATCTTTCTGTTAGATCATTATATATATATATATATATATATATATATATATATATATATATATATCTCGTTCCTCTATCATGGTATCAGAGCTCTAGCTCGATCCATTAATGGCGATCTCAGAAAGTGTATCAAACTCTTCGACATCTGCAAATCCGACGTCTCTGGTGACCTTCGCACATCCGCTTCCACTCAAACTTGATGTCAACAATTTCATTTTCTGGAAACACCATGTCGAATCAGTAGTCCAATCGCATAAGTTGCACTCATTCTAATTATTCCACTCATTCACCAAACCTTACTGCCATAAACACTTCAGCACAACATTCCAACTGGGATCAACCATCAAATCAAACCTATATCATCCTACTGCTGCCTGGGCCTCTGCCAACACATCTATTTTAGGGCCTCCTCCACAACCTTAGTCTTGGTTCCCTGATTCTGGAGCTACTCACCGTGTTACTGCAGATCCCTTGAACTTACAACATAGTGAACATGTTACTACTACTGATAAGTTTTTATGGGTAATGGTCAAGGTTTGGACATCAAGTCTATTGGGTTTACTTCCTTTCCATCCCCTTATCAAACTTCTATTTCTCTATCCCTCAAAAATATTCTTCATGTTCCTTCCATAACTAAAAATCTAATCACTGTCAGTCAGTTTGCTAAGAATAACAATGTCTATTTTGAGTTTTATCCTTATGATTGTTATGTGAAATCTCAAGTTTCTAATCAAGTATTGTTGCATGGCATTTTGGGAGAAGATGGTCTGTATAGATTCCAGTCTTTTCCTGCTCTCAGTTTCAACGCATCAAATAATCAATATTTTGTCTCAACCTTCCAAAATGCTAAGTCCAGAGTTTTATTGTCTACAAGTAATAATGCTAAGTCTAGTTTTCCTTCTCAATCATGTAATCTTTGGCATCTAAGACTAGGCCATCCTCACTCTGAGGCTCTCAAAATTGTACTTCAACAATGTAATGTTCCTTATATCAATAAAAGTGCAACTGATTTCTGTTCTGATTGTTGTATTGGTAAAGCACACAGGCTGCCTTCTTACACTTCTACAACTACTTATCAAAAACCTTTTGAACTAATCTTCACAAATCTCTGGGGACCAGGTCCCATTCTCTCTTTTGATGGATATTCATATTACATAGCATTTATAGATGCTTGTACAAAATACACCTGGATCTATTTTCTTAAAAGAAAATCTGATGCTCTTCTAGCTTTCAATAATTTCTTTCAGTATGTGCTTAATCAGTTTTCTGTTTCAATCAAGTCAATTCAATCAGATTGGGGGGTGAATTCAGGTCCTTTACCAAACTACTTTCTGAAAAAGGCATCATTCACAGAGTCATTTGTCCACATACACACCATCAAAATGGTGTTGTGGAAAGAAAACATCGCACCATTGTAGAAAAAGGTGCCTCCCTTCTATCTCACTCTTCCCTACCCCTTAAATTCTGGGACACTGCTTTTGCAACTTTTGTGCATCTCATTAACAGAACACCTTCTAAATCAATTTCCAACTCTAGTCCATATTTCAAACTGTACAATTCCACTCCTGATTACTCCTTTCTAAAAGTGTTTGGTTGTGCTTGTTACCCTTTCATCAGACCATACAATAAACATAAACTTGACTTCCATTCAGAAGAATGTGTCTTCATAGGATATTCATCCACTCACAAAGGCTACAAGTGCTTGTCTCCTTCTGGCAAAATCTACGTCTCTAGAGATGTTGTATTTCATGAGTCCAAATTTCCTTATCCTCTTCTATTCTCTTCTAAATCATCTACTTCTAACACCAATCTCAATCCTATTCCTGTTCCTATAAGCATTTCACCACCCATTCAAAGTTTCAATCCTCTCCAGTCTAATGAATCTGTTTCAACTGAATCTCAATCTGAACCTGTTACTCATAATCTTCCTTCATCATCTCATGATTCAGATCAGTCTTCTACCAATTCAGAACAGTCTTCTACCAATTCAAATCAGTCTACAACCCCCTCTTTACTTAATTCCAATCCTCCTCCTAATTCCACTGCACAGTCGTCTTCCTCTGCAACTTCAGGTCCTTTAGTTCCTATCACTAATATTCATCCTATGAGGACAAGAGCTAAGTCAGGAATTGTAAAACCAAGACTTCATCCTACCTTACTGTTGACTCACATTGAGCCTAAATCAGTCAAACAGGCCTTGGCTTCTCCTCGTTGGCTTGAAGCTATGGAATGTGAATACAATGCTTTGATTGCTAACAAAACTCGGTCTCTTGTTTCACTTCCTCCAAATAAACAAGTCATTGGCTGCAAGTGGGTCTACAGAGTCAAGGAAAATCCTGATGGTTCTCTTAATAAGTATAAAGCCAAGTTGGTGGCCAACGGCTTTCATCAGAGATATGGCTTTGACTTTGGAGAAACCTTTTCTCCAGTAGTAAAACCAGTCACTATCATAATCCTACTCACTCTTGCAATCTCACATAATTGGTCAATTCAGCAAGTAGATGTCAATAATGCTTTCCTAAATGGGGAACTAGATGAAGATGTTTACATGGTGCAATCTCCAGGGGTTCAGGTTGAGGACACCTCCTTAGTATGAAAACTCCATAAAACTCTATATGGCCTCAAACAGGCTCCTAGAGCTTGGTTTCACAAACTCACTTTTGTTCTTTATACTGCTAGTTTCAAGCAGAGCAAGTTTGATCCTTCTCTACTCATTTTTCTATCTTCTGGAGTTCAAATATACATATTGATATATGTTGATGATATATTAATCATTGGAAACAACTCTACTATCATAAGTCAACTCATTCATAAACTTGGTTCATCCTTCTCTCTCAAACACCTAGGAGACCTAGATTTCTTTCTGGGAATAGAGGCACACAAACTTCGTGATGGCAGCCTTCATCTCTCTCAAGCCAAGTATATTAGGGACATACTAAATCAAGCTGGAATGTTGGATTCCAAAGGGGTAAAGACACCCATGGTGAGCACCTGTAAACTTCAAAAGCAAGGCAGTGACTACTTACCCAATCCCTCTCATTACAGATCCATTGTTGGAGTGTTACAATATGCTACCCTAACCAGGGCAGACATATGTTATGCTGTCAACAAAGTATGTCAGTTCATGGCTGAACCACTGCAAGAACACTGGCAAGCAGTGAAGCATATTCTTAGATACCTATCTGGTACTGTCAACCTTGGAATCATCATTAAACCTATCTCCTTATCTAAAATGCCTCTCCCTATATCAGCCTATTGTGATGCTGATTGGGCATCTGATCCAAATGACAGAAAATCCACATATGGTTCTTGTATATTCCTTGGAAGCAATATTGTGTCTTGGTGGTCAAGGGAACAACTTCGAGTTGTTAGATCTTCCACAGAATCTGAATATAGAAGCCTTGCAGATACCTCAGCAGAGCTTCTATGGATCCAGTTCCTTTTAGAAGAACTTCAAGTTCCATTTACTGCACCTAAAGTGTACTGTGATAATCTCAACACTGTCCAGTTAGCTCACAATCCTGTCTTGCACTCCAAAATCAAACATTTGGAGCTTGATCTTTTCTATGTTAGGGAAAAGGTTCATACAAAGCAACTTGAAGTCCATCACATTCCCTCTCTTTATCAGATTGCTGACATCCTAACTAAACCACTCTCCAGCTCCAGATTTCTTGAACTCAGAACAAAACTTAGTGTGATTGAACTGTCAAAACAATCACTCTAAATTTGAGGGGGGAATGTTAGCTATATACCTTTGTAATAGACTAGAAACTCTATGATGTAATAGTCTACTGTATATAGTTAGTTAGTATCTCAGTTAGTTGTTAAGTCGGTTTTACTCAACTAATCTCTATAAATACCCTGTAACCCAAATCAGTTCATAATAATATCTTTCTGTTAGATCCTTATATCTCTCTCTCTCGTTCCTCTATCACTTTGTGATCTGTAAGTAGCATGCCCAAGACAATTGCTGGTTCTCCCTGGCACATCATATACCATCGATTGCGGGGAACTTGAGGCGGATGTGTTTCATGAAGATTATGGGCTCAAAGTCTTCGAGGGTAGGATGCCTGATGATGATGTTGTGGGTGCAATCGAGGTTGACGATGACGAACTCCACTTCAAGCTTGGCTCTATGGGCATCATCGCCAAGCTTGGCCAGAGGGCCCTCCGCTTGAGGTGTAGCTCCCTGAAGGTGTTGAGCTACATCACATTGACAAAGCTGTCGATGTCGACACACGAACGATGGATGATGATGTCGTTTATCTGACTTCTGATAACGAGGACGTCCATGTGTGGGGGCGATCCCGAGGGAAAATCTGTAGGCTACTAATATTTTATTGTAATATTTATGTATTTCATCTCATACTCCTTTCAATTACACATTAACTTATAATAATGTTAACAAATGATACTTCATCCGTTCTTCACTACTTGTCTCTTATTCCATTTTGGGTTGTTTTTAAATAGTTGTCCTTCTTTCCCTTTTTAGAAAGTTTTTTCAATAAATATACGTGTATACTATCACTATCTTTTCTACTTTATCATTCTCGTTCATACTGTTTCATTTAAATACAATTCACTACATTTTTTACATTACTCTTATTATTTTCCTTTTAAAATCCGTGTCAAAGTCTAAGTGACAAGTATTGAAGAACCGAGGGAGTATGATTTAGGATATTTTTACTTGGACTAGATTTTCTGGTTTGATCTAGTTGAGTCTGATCTGATCTAAAAATTATCTGATCTCTGTATATTTTATAATTATCTAACTCTAGCCTAATTTGACGTGGTCTTATTTGAGAGTCAAAAATAGTCCCATACTCTATCTATGGGAATCTAGTTTCATGTAAAACACCATTCAATCCCTTCAATGCACTTGGCTGCAAGTACAGAGTTACTGTAGAGCTGTAGTGACCGCAAATAAGAAGAGGGCAAAGCCCAAAACCCTACACGTATTCTAGATCGGAGCCGCAGCTACAGAAAATGGAGGGTATCGGAGTGTTGCTGTCGTGCTCGATGGACCCGTACCTGGAACAAGAACTCGACAAGCGATTCAAGCTTTTCCGGTTCTGGAGCTTCTCGCAGAAGAACAAATTCCTGAGCGCGAACGCCAACTCGATCCGCGCCGTCGTAGGAAACGCCGCTTTCGGCGCTGACGCGGAGCTTATTGACGCGCTTCCTAAGCTGGAGATCGTGTCTAGTTTCAGCGTCGGGTTGGACAAGATCGACTTGGCCAAGTGTAGGGAGAAGGGGATTCGGGTCACCAATACCCCCGACGTGCTGACGGAGGACGTCGCTGACCTAGCGATCGGGCTAATGCTGGCAGTTCTCAGAAAAATTTGCGAATGCGATCGACATGTGAGGAAAGGATTGTGGAAGATGGGTAACTTCAAACTGACCACCAAGGTTCACTCAGTTCTTCTTCAATTGTCATCAATAATCATGTCAGTAAATTTGGATTTTAACTCCGGTGAATAGAAGTATGCTGATTGAAACACTTGCTCTCTTTCAATTCTTTTTGCTCTGTTTCCCCACATCATAAGTTTTAGGAGAATTCCCTAATTAGGAGTAAAACTTGTTTTCTGGGCTACTTGTTGCCCTTGTTGGAGTGAAGATTGAATTTCATGAAAGTTTTTATTTATATAATATTATAATTTAATAGTATAATTTAATTTTCATATATATAATATTACAATTTAATTTATATAATACAAACATTGAAATGGGTAGTGTGGTATAATATTATACGGAGTAATTATTATAACATCATAATAAACATATGTAGACCCAATTATATATGGAAAACATTATTCATATTTCATTATACCCTGCATTTTCCAAGGTAAAACAAATCAAAGAAAGTAATCTAACCATTATTCTCCTTCACTAGCATTTTACATTAGCCGGAGTTCTGGACATTCCCTAAATACCCGTATCAATTGCCATCATACTTTGCAGTTCAGCGGCAAAACTGTTGGGATTATAGGTCTTGGAAGGATTGGGCTAGCAATTGCGAAGAGAGCAGAAGCTTTTGATTGTCCAATCTGTTACCATTCCAGAACAGAGAAACAAAACACCAATTACAAATATTACCCAAGTGTGGTTGAGCTTGCTTCCAATTGCCAGATTTTAGTCGTTGCTTGTGAGTTAACTCCACAAACTCGCCACATCGTCAACCGTGAAGTTATCAATGCACTGGGCCCGCAGGGAGTTCTCATCAACATTGGTAGGGGTCCACACGTTGACGAGCGTGAGATTGTATCGGCTCTGGTTGAAGGCAGGTTGGGTGGGGCTGGGCTTGATGTGTTTGAAAACGAACCTGAGGTGCCTGAGGAGCTATTTGGGCTTGATAATGTGGTCTTGTTGCCCCATGTTGGAAGTGGAACGGTGGAAACACGCAAGGCCATGGCTGACCTTGTCATTGGGAACTTAGAGGCTCACTTTCTTGATAAACCACTGCTAACTCCGGTGGTCTGACTTTGCTATGGACATCTATTGTTGCTTGTATAGTTTATATATCGCCCAAGTTTTATTGAAAATACCCACCCGCGCAACGTGAGTGGGTTATCCATCTTCTAGATGTGGTATTGCAATAATCGGGACAAGTGTATGATGTTGGCCGTTGAGTATCCCACAATGGTTGTCTATTGAGTTTGAATGTAACCTATAACTGTGGCAGTGTGGTGTAAATCTCACCTCTTGAAGATGCTTTTGTGGTGAGTTACACTCAAACATTGTATTCCCCCATCATTTTGTGTTGACATTATTAAATATGAAGACCAAAATGAAGACACTTCTTTCATTTAACATTTTAACATTTGTGCAAAAATGATTGAGACGTTAACTCTGGAGCACCACCATTGCAGATCAGTATATTTTTTCTGTTACTATATCTCATAATTGAAAATTGCCTTCTTGAATGTAGCAAGCATGCATGTAATGAACATGTTTATCTGGGATTCTGGATAAGTAACCGAGCTGCTTTCATTTTACTTGAACTCATACATAGCAGGTATATATTCATATGTGGTGGGGTGAATGATAAAGGATCCACTAATGACTATTTAGCTACTTTACTAGCAGTAAATTTACACCATTATAACCATTACTAATTTGAAATTCTGTCTTCGACTCGGTATCGGCTGGCCTCATGAAGGAGACTGTGGGGGAGAAGAAGAGCCCTTGAAGATAAGGAAGTTGAGAGTCTCCAAGGTGAAATAGATGAAGGTCCCTTTACTATGAGTGAAGAAACAACTGAAATGTGACCCCACTACACATTGCCAACCACCTCCATGTTCCTTGTCAAACTCCTGCCCATATAAAAACATTATCCAGGGGTGACTATTAGTTGGATCTCTTTACTTTTCAATATATAATTCAAATAAGTTCCAAATTAAGATGGATTTCTGTATTGAGTTATTTAAATGGCATTGTCTATAGAGATTCTCACTTTTTAATACACTATATGTTTCATTTCATACAAAAAATGGCTGATAGAGGGATATAATTGGGGTGAAAATTAAGCCATTTTTAGACTTTGAATAAGACTTGTTTCCAATTAGTTGTAAATAAACATGATTAAACAGCAGTGATTTAGTCATTTTAAGGCCGGCTGGCCGGGGTTAACGGCCTCTTATAAATTCTTAGAGAAGGAGGGTTATGGACTATGGTTTAGAGTGGTTTAGTTACCTTCTTGATGTGAGCAGCAATGGATTTGCAGTCAAGAACATCATCATAAATGTCCAGAGCTTGAGAAGCACAGGCCATAGCTTGGATCTGCATCTTCACTGGCATGTCTGTGTCTTCTATCACAGCTTTCCCTTCCAACATCTTCCTTCCTTCCTTCTCTCTCTATGTATCTCTCACTATATATGTGCAGATAAGAGGTGGGAAGCCCAGAAAAGAAGTAAACTATCCTGATTTTTCTTCTTTTTCTGTTAAATACCTGTCCTCATTTGCTTCTTTTTTTGTCCTGTTTCATAAGTGATGGCTCATACATATATTTTATTTTTTCTTTTCTCTAAAAGAGTGTGCCTTTAATTTGTACTAAATTCAAAATTTGGATTACATAGCAGTACAACTCATCTGCCTGCCAGCAATGACAACACACCGGAAATAAGTGGATAAGGATAACGGCTTAATTATAACCATACTCCCCAATAGATTAAAAACAAGAACAACAGAACAATTAATACTTCGTATTAATTAATACTAGTCCATCAAGGAACCACGATAATAATTGTAATGGATGAGGTGTTAAAGTTTATGCAGAGGAGAAGGAATTAAATAGAATCACATGTTTATTATTTAAAAGAGAAAGTAATAAAATTATTGAGAAAATAAAAAAAATGAATTTGACAAAATTATAAGGGACAAAAATAGTACAAACTGTCAATCAATGTTTTTATATCCATGTCCAGCAGCATAGTAGATTAGTAGTCATTGTATTCTCACATCTCCCAACCACGGGTGGAGATACGGAGGGCTGGAGGGGCCTCGGCCCCTACAAGAATTTTTTTAAAGTACTCCTTCCGATCCTTAATTAACTTTACAATTTCCTTTTTTGGGTCCTTCCATATTAAATTTTACACTTCCTTATTTGCCTTATTTGGCAAACAAATCTACACCAAACAGTACAAAATAGTGTCAAACAGTGCACTCTACAGTAAAATCAAATTTATTTCCTTAATATGTGTGAAGTCAAAGTGTAAAGTTTAATAAGGACCGGAGGGAGTATATATTATGTATAAATATTTTTAATTCATTCATTCATTTTCATTTACCCCAGTGCCGCAAAGGCTCCCTCCCACCTACGGTGGGGTAAAGGGAGGTCGGATGTACGCAGTCTTACCCCTGTACTAAAACATAGAGAGACTGTTTCCGGATGACCCATAGTGAAAATCCCGTCCAAAATTGCATGGACTGGCTGGTGCTTCATAAAAAAGAAGCGCGGACAGTTTAGTGAGTCATTTTGTTTTATTTCATCATAATCTCAAACCAAAAAATAATGAATCTTTGGCTCCATTGCAAATGATGGAAATATAAATATTTTTAATCAATAAAAAAATATGTTGATATTTTAAAGTTTTACCCCTGCAATGTAAAATTTTTAAGGAGCGATCCGCTTAACCATAGATTTTTGACTCGTCACCTCTCCCCGCCCATGTAATGCGGAGTATAATTTTTGTAAGCCAAACGGCCATAATATTACAATGTCCTTAAGGCCTCATTGTTTAAGTAATTATAATGTGATATGCGCGGTGAAGAGAAATTAATTAGTCGAGAACTCTCTATATAGAAGAGCATGTATTAGAGATCAGAAATTCAAAAAAACCAAACTAAGTAAATTATTATTCTAATGACATATACAGAGCATATTTTAATTACTCTAGTAATATCTTTCCTAATTATCTAAAAGGTGGTTTGAAAGCTCAAACGACTCACATTAGTAATGTCTTTTCAAATTATTAATGTGATATTCTTCAAGGTGACATGCTATTTTCTAATGGTCGGTGAGAGTATTGCTTTAGTACTATTTGTGTTTTTCTCGAAGGTCGTTGTTTTATGAATGAGGCTAGGATGCTGAATGATTGAAGATTAATGAATCGCTGTTATTTTATTTATTCAGAAAAATGTCTAAATAATATAAGCTTCAATTTATTTGTTACATGATCACCTTATGCAACTCATTTGTAGAAAGTAGAGTTAAAGTTATGAGGGATCGATGTAAGTTTTATTCGTTATTTATTCATTAAATGATATCTGAGTTGAATGTTTCGTATCTAACTTACATAAATTCTAGTTTAAATGAGACTAATAGAGTAATAGAGCTAGATTTGATATATATATATATATATATATATATATATATATATATATATATATATATATATATATATATATATATACATATATATATACACACACACACACACATATACATATATACACAAATATTCACCTCCCTCCAGTTCAGAGAAGGGTCTGTCCGGCCACCTCAATTTGAGGTGGTTCCGGGGTATTTTTGGCTGAAATTTTTTGTGTATGTTCCTTATCGCAAGTCTAGTTCATCCATACCAAATTTGAGCAAAAAATTCAATCGGGAAGATCGTCAAATGATTTTTGCATGAAAACTGCGTTTTATATGTATATTCCGGACCAGTTATAATAACTCAACATATTCAGAGATTCATAATATATCAAATTGAAGGTATTCCATCGCTCTATACTCTAAAACTTTCAGAGGTATGGTGACCACCCTATCATCCTTGGCTCAACTTCTGATAATATGATCTAATTATTGTAGTGTGTAGATTGTGACCAGCGTAACGTAATCACGAGATTTACAATATAACTACACTTATTTATTTGTACATTTATTTATTTTAAAGACATATTATTTCAGAAATAAAAAATTGATTAAATAATACCTTATTACTCCGTATGAGTTACTCGTATACTATTTTTGGTAATAAACGTTATGCTGTCGTTGGTTGGGTACATCACTGCAATTTCTATCTTTTCTTTTATCAGCAATTTTGAGTTTTTGATGTTCACGCATGCATGTTACATTCTGATGTGTTTTGAAGGTAAATAAATAATTTCCCTCTCTAAAAAATAATACGAGTACTACTTTAATCATTTAAAACTTGGCTAACTTTACTGTTTTAGTCGTTCTAAAAAACTTTGTCATTTCCATTTAAAGTAATAAATATGTGGGTAAAATTATTTTTATCTTATTTGCACAGTTTTTACTTTATTAATCCACGTGCAAATCAATATTGGTCAAATTTTATAGGATGGATGGAGAGAGTAATAATTTTCCTCTCCTTTCTATCTGGTCTGTACTGTTTCATCTTTAATCGAGTGGTTAGTGGTGGCCTGGTAAGATGTTGGCCGCTTGGCCCAATAACTTCCAAGTATCCAACTCAGCATATAGTGGAGGGCATAGTTCTTTTTTCAAGCACACCACATTTATAGGAAACAGCCCAGTTCTCCTCAAAGTTAATTCGGATCTCCATTTTGGTAATTTAAGTGAAATTCGCGATTTCCTCAAAATGAGTATTAATGTACGTTTAATGAGTATCAGATCTATTCTACAGTGTATTGAGAGTCTAATAATGAGCATCATAATATCATTCATATCTTGTAGTTCATTTTTTTCTTATTTTTTAAAATATCTACAATGAACCTGTATGAATGTAATATGTGAATTTAATGTAATATAATATTTTTGAAATATGCATGAATATGACAATATAAAATTAGTATTACACCAATATCAAATGAGCACGAATTATGAAATGAGTATAAAAAAAATATATAAACTCATTTAAAATCTCTACTATGCTCAGAATTTCATTTGTGTAGGCTCATATCTTTAAAATTACATATACCTTAGGTTTCTCCTAACCCAAAAGCGACTAAACTCACCAAAACCCGAGTAAGAAAAAGTGAAAAATCAAAACAGTGCAAAGAAATAGAGGAGAGGCCGCGAGAGTATACACGCTAAATCCATCCATATCCTTCATTCAGAGCTCCATCGTCGCAGATATGAGAGGCGAACAAAGCGACAGTTGTGAGGAAGCGACAAACCACATGAAGTGGAGGAACGACCGTGCAAATTCCATCGTTGAGAGCTCCATCGTCGCAGATTCGACTGAGCGAGCGAAACTCCGAGAAACGACGAACGGTGCACAGCGAACAAAAACCCCAATTGTATCATGTGCACGGTACTACCGGCGATAGGGTATATTTTACCGTGGATTCGAGATCTATACACTTGGTCGTTTTTTATTTGACCTCGTTTTGTATGGTCATAAATAGGAAAATTGTACATTTAAAAATAAAAATAATCCCACAATTTAAGCTAATTGGCTTTGATTCTTGTATAGACTAAGGGGTGTTTGGAACTGATTCTGCCTCTACTTCTTTTTGGAGTAGAAGTAGAATCAGAATTAGTTTTCAGAAGCTGATCCCCCATGCTTCTAAAAAAACTGCTTGTAGGAGTAAATTAGAATACCATAAGTACTTCTGCACTTTCACCCGAACACTCCAACTTCTGTTTCTGCTCGTTGAAGGACCAGAAACAGATTTAAGAATCATATCTAAACACCCCCAAACTACAATTAGACAATTTCTACACTAATGTTGAATTCAAAACAAAATCAAGTTATTTTGTTGAATACAAAAATAAATAAAGTCAGTTCTAATTGTGAACAAACCACTCCTAAACCTTCATATAAACCACCAAATTTGTGTTTTCCTATCATTTAGGGTATGTTTGGAAGTTTGAAGGGAAGATGAGGGGAAGGTTTTGAAGGTTCGTCATCGGAAGGGAAAGGGAGGGAAAAGGTTGGAAACCCTTCTTGTTTGTGAGTATCAAGTTTGAAAAGATAAAGGTTTTGGATGAATTATAATTAAAATCACTTCACATATATGACGAATTCAAATAATTGAGTTTATATTTATTTAAAATTGAGCTAAAGTTGTCATTAATTAGTTATTCTTCAAAATCCCCCAATTTGGGGGAACTTGAATATTGAGCATTTGAAGGGTCTTGAAGGGTTACAAAAGCCCTCCAAAACCATCCACTCTGTGTTTTTAACTCACAAACATGAAAGGGAGGATCATAAGCCCTTGTCAACAATCCCTCCCTCGCCCCCATAAAACCCAACTCCCAAATATACCCTTACACTACTAGTATCTCACTCGTGCATTGCACGGGGTGTAAAGTTTAGATATTTTAAATGTCAATTTATAAACTCGGATGGAGATAATTAAACAGTATTCAAACGTTTAACGCAAGACCAAGTAAAGCGGTCAACTTTGGAAATCAAAAGATCCTTGTTCCGTCGGTTCTACACCATGGTCATAATACGAACCATATGATCATCATTAATGAAGAGTATTACTGCTACCAATGTCATAAATTTATATTGTACAT